CCCCTCCCCCCCTCCTGTTGTGGTAGCCTTTGTGTTGTTCCCAGCTTTGAACGGAAAGTTGACAAATTCGTGACGTGTGCTTGTCACTTCCCCACCGTCGTCTCCTGATGGTCTGTCACCTACCAGGCGGAAAACTCAACGAAGAGCAATGCGTCTACTGCAGTTTGCATGCTTTTCTGAAAAATAACAAAATGCACTGTGCTGTAACGACACAGTAATTGTGCATAGAAGACTACGGGCTTTCTGTGTGAGCTCACGATTTGTGGCTCACTGTGTGTTGTAAGATGTGGTGTAGGAGGTAGAGGAGGAAATCTTGAAGTGACCTTGCAGCTGAGCTTCTTATAGAATTAAGAGTCCCCCTGTGCTGGACTCTTGTTTAATAGACCTTTATATCTGTGTTTTGTGCATCTGGTCCGGTTCATATATTATAATCCTTGTCGTATTTGTAGTCTTAGCTTCTTTGTGACTTTTTTTTTTCTTTATCCATTTGTTCCATCAGTGGTAACAGAAGACTTTGGTCGAGTGCCTGTATCACGCAGATGTAGTCATTAAAAAAAAGGTATTTTAAAAAATGACATAAAAAAAACGAAAAAGATATATTGTTAAAAAAAAAGTGTTTTAAAAATTCACAGATTATAATCTTGAATGTACTTTATCTTGTTAGAGAGTATTAATCTATTCTTAGTGTACAGTATATCGGATCTTGATATGAGTGGGAAGTGATGAGGTTGTTGCGACTGAGGTGAAGAGAGAGTGTGTGTCTGATGTCCTGTCATAAAATGGTTTGTTGTCTTTTCATCAAGTCTTAAAAATCAGTCTGAGGAGTCTGTTCAATTCCGGTGATAATTTAAATGTTCTATCTGGATTTGCACACCGTTCTGCTAAATAGAACTTCATATATTTGTAGCGCTCTTGGATTTGTTTGCTGATTACACTTTGAAGGAAGTAGAAAGAACATAGATCTAATTGTTGAATGATAGTACTAATACAGTGGGTATGTTTCCTTTCAAGGTTGAAGCCCAGTGCTGAGATAAGACTCGTTCTGATAAAAGCCCTTTTACATGGTGCAGAATTTATGGAAATTGGAGGTTTTTAAGACAAAACTTTCTTTTTTTTTCTTCAATTAAGTTAAACTTCCTTTGAAGTTCCAAAACACTTAATTTGTAGTTACCATTTGCTTTGAAGAAATATAAAGTGAAAAGTCAGGTTTGAGGAATTTGAGCAGAAAGAATATATGTGAGGCAGCGAGGTGGAATCAGGCTCTCGTCAATTTTTGGGCATATTGAGTTATTGGTATCATCTTAAAGATCACCTGATTTAAGAGGTAAAATTAGCAAAAAAATGGCCACCAAAGGTGGAGAGTCCAAGGAAACTGTAAATTTATAATTTTGTGCCTTTAATCAAAGTTTTCGGTGAAATCCTCAAAGGAATGTGTTTGTAAATGGACATGAAAGGTGTTGAGCCCAAAAAATTTTTAAAAATAAAAAATACTAAGCAGGGAGAAAACTGCTGTTTTTTTCGATTTCATTATTTTGACGAGAGCCTGATTCCGCCACGCTGCCTCACATATACCCCGGTATATAAGCATGCTTGGTTTGCAGTATGTCGATACTCCTTTTATGACAGTCTAGGGCTGAAAGAAAGAAATTAAACTTGTAAAAATTGATTTACTCCTGTCATTTAATGATTGTTGTGGTATGAATGGCTTTGTTCTGTGTGTGTGTGTTGTGTGCGTGCATGCATGTTGATTATAGACCTGCATGTTTGTGGGGCTATAAGTGGAATTGTATGGTGTTGGTAGTTTTGCTCAGTGTAGGGTGTGGTATGAGAGGAAAAAACGACCTTGTAGCGAGCCACCGCACACAAAGCTCTGCAGGCACAGCTCAGTGTGGTCCCTCCCCCGACTGAATGTAATGAGCCAAGCATTGCCAGGTACCCTACTCTAGCTATGTGGTCACTGTCTGGTGTTGGCTACTGCTGCTGACGTCATATAGTGGGCTTTTGGTCACTCTCATTATTGTTGCCTCCTTTTGAAAATGATAAGGGGACCATAGGAGGGTTTTCTTGAAATTGCTGTCTGGTTGCTGATGCAGCTCGTGGTCGTTCTTGTGATTTCAGAGTTCAACGGAAAGTTGTTTGACTCATGGCTCGCACGGTGAGCAGAAAGTGCAGCAGGGCTGAGGTGTAAGCGTAAGCCAGATCCTATTTCATTTGGGGTACTGGTGCATGCTTGGAAAGTGGTAATGTTTGGGTAGAGTGACAAGTCAGTGAATAGTTTTTATTGTTCCTGACTCTCGTGTGGTGGGAACTGGTTTGAATGCTTGGAGAATCTGATTTCCTCTTGAAGTGGCACTGCTTTACCTCTTATTGCAGAGTTTTAATCAAGAGTTTTTTCAGTGTTACTTTTGGGCTGGGATACAATGGCTGGATGGAAGACTCTGCCAAATGTGGTGTTTGTTGGAATCTTGTACCCAGCCATTAATTTGATGTGTGTGTTTCATTGTGTGATGTTTGTTTGTGGTTGAATGAGGTATGAAGCTGTGTCTGGATGTGTCATGAAATTTACGGATGAGAAATGTGTAAAGAGACAGTACAAGTACATATATAATTACTTTACGAGCATTGAGCAAACCAGTGCTGCTGATTATGGTAATGTTGATGTTGGTTGCAGTCAAGGAGATACGGAGCATGAGAAATTCATCTTTGTGAATGATTTCTAAGAGACTAATAACAAGACACTTCGTTTGTGAACATTGAGACATTGCAGTACAGACTGGAGAGGGAGTTGTGTTCCTGTTATCGTTATTAGGACAGTTACACTCTTTAGTGAGGAAGTGCAGGTGTGTTAAAGGCGACTTCTGGAAGCTCTCAAAGATGTTCCAAGTAGAGGCTCGGAGTTCTTCAACTGCCACTGTCACCAAGGAGCTGTGGGACTGCCTCACAGGAATTCTCAAGGTGCCCGGAGACCGAATTGTTCTTCCTTCTCTGCTTCTTCCGACAGTTGTGGATAAATACTTTACACTTGACAAAGTGGAACCTGCAGTCTATGTGGGTGGTTTGTGAAGAAATTGTCTCAGAATGAAACCCTCGAGATCTTATATATACAAGTGAAAGACTTCAATCCAAAGGGCCAGTTGTGTTTGTGGTCAAGCATTTTGCTGACTGCGAAAAATCCCCCCCCCATTCCCCCCACAGCTGCTTTCCCGGAGGCATAATATTGGCGTGTGTGCTGTTGACAATATTGACATTATAAACTGTTGTTTTCCTTACTGGTACAAGACGGGTCGTGTTGATGATAGATGATGCCCCAGTCCTTGTGGACGTGTGTATAGAAGGGGCAGACAGATGGACGTGTAGTTTGCAAAGAGATGGTGGAGAAGTTTAGCATTTTTGCAGTGAATTTGCCACACGTATGATGGCCTCAGCCTTTGAAATTTTCCAGGTCTCTCTCTCTCTCTCGGGCAATGCAAAGATGGTTTAATGGTTGTACTGAATGTAGTAGTGTTGGTAGGGCCGGGCCCTCTTGTGCTGAGGGCTTGAGCTGAACTAGTGAAAGATGTTTGGAAGCTGCTTCCTTGTGAACCTGGGTCTTTGTAGTTTGCTACGTACTTCAGTAGATGAAGCATTTACTTTTGGAGCCCTAGAGCATGAAAGCTGTTCTGATGGGTTTTTCAGTAGTTGCGTTGAGGTCCAGTTTCAGCAAATGATGGTAAGATTGCAAGCAGATATGTATGTGGTGTTTGTGCACACTGCTCATGCCATGCTGCTCTGGTCAAAGGTTTGGAGAAGAGCAGGCGATGAGAAAAGGACTGTGTTGTTGTTGTTATAGTCTATATATATATATATATTATGCTCGTGTTTTCTGTTGTTGCCCCCATCACTGGAGCTGCTGTAGAGATGGGAAGAATGATGATATTATGTACCCACATCTCCCTGTTGTGCTGGACTTTGGCTGGTCATTGCTGGAGGTGGGAGGGGAAGGGGAGGGAAGGGCGGGGGAGAGGGGCGGACTGACTGTAATGCTAGTTGTTTGTTGTGAACACACTTGAGGGAGGCGGCGCACGCGCTGAAGCAGAGCCGGAACAGTAAACTTTCGGAAATTGCGCTGCAGCAAATACTTATTATTATTATATATATATGTCAGCTATATATATAACTTTCAATTATTCTTTTGTGAATACCTTTTTTTTTGTACCTTTACATCATGTGTAAAATACTAGGAAATATTCAAGTGTTTTTACATTTGTTGAACATCACTCAAATCTCTCTTTTATGTGTACTATTGATACTTCAAGTGTTTTTTGAGTGTTCTTAAAAGCCACATACAAGATATAAGACTGTGTTACCTAAGTTGCCGCGCATCAGTTGCGAATCGCTGAATCATGGATGAGTGAGAAGCTGCTGTTTATTTTATCCCCCAAAAAATAAAGGAAGAAAGAGAGTCTTTCCAGCTACTCTGTGTTGGTTCCTGAGGTTGCCAGTATTCTAGATATGGGCAGAGCAATTACTTCTGTGTTTGGTTATTTGTTCACTCCAATATAGGGCACGGCGTCTTTGGTTAGAACTGAATTTGTGCCTTTTCTTTCTTTTTTTTTGGCAAAAATATTTTTCTTAATTTTGGAGGCAGTTTGGGTGGATAGTCTAACTTGTTGT